CAGGAATGGACAACCAGAACTCAACCTCCTGAAGCTGGATAAACAGTGGTGGCACCCTCCTGACCCACCACTTGTTCCCCTGTCTTGATCCTGCCAGGTCCTGACCTCCATGCTACCACCTCATCAGCCTTCCTGCATCTCACCTGGTCCCCTCATCAAGCTCCAGCCAAGCCCTGTTTCCCCAGCAACCACAGTCAACTCACCATCAAGCTCATGCCACACACCTGCCTCACCAGCTATATGTTCCTCAGTCAGCCACCAGCACTCGGCCACATTATTGAACGCTTCTGCTAGTAAATCTCCCAGCCTGTTTCATCCTGCCTGATCATAGCCTCCTGACCTCGTTTCCACGCCTGACCCTTGCCAAGTACTCTGCCTGCCTCCAAGTCGTCAGCTGGAGCAAAGACATTGTGTCTCAGCTAGATGTAGGACATCAGATCCACTTTCCCTGTCTTCTCACATCCAAACTCGGATGCGACGTGGGAGTGGTCCGCCAGATGAGACGGAGGGGTCTTGGAAACAGCAGCAGCCAAATTCAGAAACAGCTGGAGGAGCGGCATGCAGAGACATGGCTTCAGAAGTCCATTCATTTCATGTCTTACCAGAGAGGCTTTGCCAGAGCTGCATCCACAGGTTTGGTTGAGCCTCTGAATCTTGGAGAACTGCCAACGCTGTTGACTGTTCCGAAACGCCGCTGGCTGATGCGAGTCTACGCGCAGGATGTGCTGAGCAGGTTAGAGGAAATCAAGGCTTCCATCACGTCAACCTTTGGGCGTGTCCTGAAAATAGACTCCACCAAAAAACTGTCAGGAAGCTGGCAGGACACAGCCGTGGAACGGCAGCACGGGCCGCAAACATGGGGAACGAGCACGGCCAGATCATCATGTCTGTACTCGCAGTGAGTGAAGGTCATGGGTTAGGCAAGATGGTTGAGGGAGTCATTAAGCGCTACCACGATGCAGGAGTGTCGCCTCCTGAAGTGCTGTATGTCGGGACTGCTGTGGGTCTTATCTCCACAAAATGATCAGGGCGTGGCAAAACACCAACAGTTGGTTGGACATTTGGCACTTCATGAGGAGGACTGCAGTGGGCTGCACCACCGACTCTCATCCACTTTATGCCGGCTTCATGAACAAACTGAGCCACTGCATTTTCATGTGGGATGACCGTGACTCTAAAGCTCTAAAGGAAGCCAATCGAGCTGAACTGGAGGCCAAGTTGTTGCACCCCACAGATGCTGATCTGCTGCGAAACATCAGCAGGGCTGAGATGGCACGTCACTGCAAAAGGACAACCAGAAGCAGCTCGGAGATGGAGACCTTGATTTCGAATCTGATTGAGGCCTACAGCGGGCACAGAGGATGCAACTCATTGGGAGTTCCACTCATCAACCTGGAAAGAATGGCAGAGATGTGGAAGGCTCAGAAGAAGCACCTCAGCTGTCTCCAGGACCCACCAGGAGTACTCCTGTACATGGAAACTGGCACCATAAAGGAAGGGGGGCACGTTCTGAAAACACGATGTGCGAGAGGCTCCACTTCCCTCGAGTGCTTCCACCTGCACATGAACACGTTTATTCCTGGTAGGGGAAAAGCACTTTGTCCTCACACACTTATCCATGAGTTTCTCTTCATGTTCACAACCCATTTAAACATATTTATGAATATTTTTCAGGAACACTGGCAAGTGACATCTTTATTCAGGCGTATCTGTTGGATGGCCTGGCCAGGTGGAACGAAGACCGGAGCATGTCAGCAGAAGGAAGATCAGAGCCTCACTCCTACAGCGGCCTCCTGAGGCATGCTGCAACCCAGCTGTCACAGGAAGTCCTCGGGAAGAGCTGTGTGAATTACACAGGGCCACAGGCGTACACAGGTGTGTTAGCAGAGCTGATGCACCAGTCAGAGGAGACGGAGTTCAGCTTTGACCAAGCTCTGATTAGATTAATATTTCATGCTAGCTAATTAAAAGCCAACAATGTGATTTTGCTGAAATTGTGTCGTGACAGTGAGGTAAAGTTAAAACAAACGTTAATTCAGAGACAACCTGCAGCCACAAAAACGGTTACAACATGGACAAGGGAGTTGGAAGAGACTCTGCAGGGATGCTTTGAGTCAACGGGCTGGGATGTTCTTTGTGATTCCAATCAGGACAATATTGACAATCTGACAGGCTGTGTTACAGACTATATCAACTTCTGTGTTGACACGGTAGTCCACCATACTGTGCTTCCCCAACAATAAGCCCTGGGTTTCCAAAGACATAAAAGCAACTCTGAACAAGAAAAAAAGAGCTTTCAGAAATGGTGACAGAGATCAGCTGAAACTGGTGCAGAGGGAGCTGAAAGCCAAGATTGCTGAGGGGAAAGAGTCCTACAGACGGAGGCTGGAAAACAACACCAGGGAGGTGTGGAATGGAATGCGGGCTATCACTGGCCTGAGACAAAAGAGAGGTGTTGGGATGGAGGGGGATGTCGAAAGTGCTAACAACCTAAATCTACACTTCAATAGGTTCGACTGCCCTGCGTCTCCTGTCTCCACAGCCAGCTCTTCCCATCATCCCCTTCCATCCCCCCCATCTCCTGCCTCCTCTGACTGTCTCACCCTGTCCCTCTCAGCAGATGACGTCAAAAAAGAATTGGGCAGACTCCACCCCGGCAAAGCTGCTGGTCCTGATGGTGTCAGGTGTTGTGCTTCCCAGCTGTCTGGAGTTTTACAACGGATCTTCAACATGGGCCTGGAGATGCAGAGAGTTCCATCACTCTGGAAGACATCCTGCCTGGTTCCTGTCCCTAAAAAGATCAACCCGTTGACCCCCAGTGACTACAGGCCAGTGGCTCTGACCTCACATGTCATGAAGACGCTGGAGAGACTCGTCCTAAAACATCTGCGGCTGCTGGTGGAGCCTTGGCAGGATCCCCTGCAGTTTGCTTATCAACCTCGTATCGGTGTGGAGGATGCCCTCATCTACCTGCTGGACCGGGCACATTCTCATCTGGACATTGCTGGGAGCACTGTGAGGGTCATGTTTTTCGACTTCTCTAGTGCCTTTAACACGATCAGACCATCACTGCTGGGGAACAAGCTCACGGAAATGCAGGTGGACACCCCACTTGTAGGTTGGATTACGGACTATTTAACAAGTAGACCACAGCATGTCCGACTGATGAGCTGCCGCTCAGATAACATCCTGAACAGCACGGGGGCGCCGCAGGGGACAGTCCTATCACCAATGGCAGTTTTAAACGGGGGCCCACAGGGGCCTGGGCCCCTGTAGAACCGGCCCTGGCCCCTGTTATGGCCCCTGTGCTGAAGAGATCGGATTTTTTTTTTCGCGCGCTGCCTCGGAGACGGGAACTAATGCGCTGCAGCGTTTCACACGGAGCCTTTAGAGCGCAGCACACTCTGTGGACAGAACTGTTTACCCGGTGGATTTTTGAATAAAAGATTAAAAATAGTTTAAATGGGACCCGAAGAAGTTCTTGAGGACGCCAAACGGAAAAGACGCTAAGAGAAGAAGGTAAGCAATACAGTTTATTTTCCTGACATCAGTGTTTTGATCGTGGTCGCGCGTTTCTGTCGTTTACTTTTAAGTTCCTAACTGAGTCTATCCACAGTTAACACTGATTTGTTGTTCCTTTGTAACATTAACTGTAAAATAAAAATGAAGTTGCTGCATTTTAAGCCTTAGACACGTTGAGATTAGGTCACAGTATTCACTTATCTATGACTTTCTCGCAGCACTGACTGGAAGCATCAGCGGGACGTTTTGTCCTTTTTTACCGCTGTTAATAAAGAACAGCGTAGACAGAGAGGATGAAAGTCACGAGGGAACTGAGAAGCAGGATGAAAGAGAGAAGGAGGAGTTGGTTGGAGAGGAACCAGAGAGGTCAGGCTGTCCACCCTGAGAGTGAGGAGGAGGAAGATGTAGGCTGTGAGGGAGAGAGTGAGGAGCAAAAAGAGGGACATCTTCTGTCATGTGCACCGTGTGCACTACCGTCAGGTGTGTGGGTGTTGAACAACCCCTCTGTGATTGCAGCTCATATTGTGTGTAAAATGCATTTGAGGCATGCTGACTCTGGACCAACATTTCTGTTGTTTATATTTAATAAATAGATAAAATAAGACTCTGAATTAACTAATTATGGCTTTTATCCTCATGCCAACATTTATTTTCTTTCAGATATCAGCAAGTGCAAGGATGACCCACCTACTCAGCATCATTTGAGGACATTTCCAGTGACATTAATAGGAGACAGAAGATGCAGCTTTCAGCCAAGCTGGTATGAAAGTCATCCTTGGGTTGAATATTCTGTTACTATGGACTCTACTTATTGTCATGCATGCAGACATTTTAGCCCACCAAGTAGCGCAGGAAGTGTGTTTGACTCACCATGTGGATTTAAGAACTGGAAAAAAGCAACTGAGAGGAGGGGGTTTTCAGTACATGCAAGTCTGAAAGGCATAAAGATTCAATGATAGCGTGGAGGGACTACCAGAGGGCTGTGAAAGCTAATACAACATTGGCTAATATACTCGACAAGGAACTCAGTAAAAAGGTTAAAGAAAATCGTGAGTATATCAAAACAATTGGTGAAGTGATTATGCTTACGTGTGTGTGTGTGTGTGTGTGTGTGTGTGTGTGTGTGTGTGTGTGTGTGTGTGTGTTGACTACAAAAAGCAAATTGTATTGTGCAGATATTTAATTTGTTTGAATGTTTATTTTTCATATGTACATTTCATATAATCTTCAAATAAAGTCACAAACTATAATAATCAACTAGAATTTTTTTTATAATTTATTTAAGTCTCGTGTTGTGGTGAAGCATTCAGAATTGTTATCTGAGTACCATAAAAACATGCCAGTTTTACTTTCACAAGTAAACCATTACTGCATTCACTGTAATAGTTTACTTGTTCATTGTCTTTAATTATGAATTTTTTTTCTTGCGCCCCCATGAAAAAATACTGGCCCCACTGTGGCCCCCCTGGAAAATTTGGTCTAGAACCGCCCCTGCCTATCACCCTTCCTCTTCACCCTTTACACATCTGACTTCAGGTACGAGTCTCAGTCTTGCCATCTGCAGAAATTCTCTGATGACTCTGCCATCGTGGGCTGTATCAGGGATGGTCAGGAGGTGGAGTACAGGAGTGTGGTGGACAGCTTTGTGGAGTGGTGTGAGCGAAACCACCTAGAACTTAACATCACAAAGACTAAGGAACTGATTATGGACTTTAGGAAGCAGGCCCCACCTCCTACTCCTGTCACCATAAGAGGGGCTGACGTTGAGATCGTTGAGGACTACCAGTACCTGGGGGTTCACTTGGACTGTAAACTGGACTGGACTAAGAACACCAATGCTATCTTCATAAAAGGGCAGAGTCGGCTTTTTCTTCTGAGGCGGCTCAGGTCCTTCAATGTTGGGAGGAAAATGCTGACCATGTTCTACCACTCGGTGTTGGAGAGCGTTGTGTTCTTTGCAGCTGTGTGCTGGGGCAGTGGGGTGAAGGTAGCTGATGCCAACCGGCTGAACAAGCTGATTAGAAAGGCTGGGTCTGTCCTGGGTTAGACTTGAGACCCTGGAGGAGGTGTCTGAGAGGAGAATGCTAAAAAAGCTTCTCTCTATCATGGACAACCCCTCCCACCCCATGCACGCCCACATGATGGACCATCGAAGCACACGCAGCAAAAGACTCATTGCCCTGAAATGCAGAACTGACCGCCACAGGAAATCCTTCGTACCGGTGGCAGTAGGATTGTTTAACTCTTCCTCACCCTGTAGGTGATTCTCCTAATACCTTTACCCAGTTTACTCTGTTCTCTCCCAGACTGTGCAATATTACACAAGCGTTCTGATTGTAAATATGTTTTTATCTCCCATCATATCATATGCTGCTACAAACCCTTATTCTATTACACAATACTTTAATCACTTTTGTGAATCGCCTGCACCGACGGCTTAATTACTTCTTCACAAGGATGCAGTCATGTATTTATTTGTTGAGATATGCGATTGTTTGTTTTGCACTATCCTACAGGGTACTAATGTTGATCATTTTTTACTGTAAATATTGTATATCATTTGATTTTTGATTGCTTTCAGGGGAACTCATTGGGGTCGAGGATCTCTACGACCAAACAGGAGATGTTCTTGAGGACCGCAGAGCGGCAACTGCAGCATTGGAGACAGAAGACGTAGCTGTGGCAGAAGATGAGGGCTTTGAAGAGTCTGAGGATTTTGTGGATCTCACAGTTCCCATCTTGGAAACCACGCTCCAGACTCCTCAACCTGCCTGTTCAGATGACGTCTCAACCCTTCCTAGAGATACCATCTGTGGAAGTTAAACATGCTCCTGTGGATGCACTGGAAGAAAGTGAGGGATGTTCATGCCCAAATATCAAATAAATGGGAAAGTCAAGATGTTTTTTAATTGTGTAAAGTGACATAAGTGACTTTAAAACTGGGTTACTGATTACTCTTGTTCTATAAATGTGTGTGTGTGTGTGTGTGTGTGTGTGTGTGTGTGTGTGTGTGTGTGTGTGTGTGTGTGTGTGTGTGTGTGTGTGTGTGTGTGTGTGTGTGTGTGTGTGTGTGTGTGTGTGTGTGTGTGTGTGTGTGTGTGTGTGTGTGTGTGTGTGTGTGTGTGTGTGTGTGTGTGTGTGCTGCATCTCCATCAAGGCTGCCTGATTTCCAATCTGATGACACGACTCCAGGGACATCAAGGAGACGGGTAAGTTAGATATGATTTGGCTACTTTTGTCCATTTTCTTTTCTTATAAATACGTGACAAACTTATCTTTTAGGACTCCGTTGGCCCCGACAACACCGAAGACAAACTATGACGAGTTTTACCGAACTAGCGAACGAGGAGAAGAGAATAGCCAAACTGTTCCCAGTCTGCACTGTCCTGGATCTTCTCACTGAATCAGGGCAAGAGGGCAGCTTTTAACAGCTGATACATGATTATGAATAATCATAAACACCTGTTCACCGGGAGACAGGCAAAGCAGAAGGCCGCTGACGCCATCCTGTGGCCAAAAAGGGGCACTGCACGTAACAGTCAGGGACTTCTCTGCTGGAGAGAAAATGAAGAAGATGAGAATCAGTAGAGAGAGAAGCAAGCCAACAACTTCATGACTGCTGGGATATGACAAACTATTTGTTAACTTCAGTGATAAAATCTGAGTGACTTTAAAAATAGGACAGAATATTAGTTGGTTTGTATTTCACAAATATCCCAGAATCTGTAATATCGATAAGAACATTATTCCTTGAAATTAAAATCAGCTATTCTATTTATTTCTTATGCAGGTATTGCAGACGCACCCAGACACAGGAGAAAGACATTCTTGAACAGGGCATTCTGGCACCAAAGCCAGCCATTTCCGGTGATACCAGTCAGCACCACAGCACAAAGCCATTCAACCTGCTCCATCACACAAACCACACACCTTCGTCCTTCATCCCGACACGGCTGGAACGGCAAACCTGAAAGTGAAAAAGTCAGAGCACAGTGCCCACCTCAGCCTCAGAACACAGGACAGTTGTCTGTGGAAAATTTCCACCAGCAACCTCATCTGGTCCCACTTATTCTGTCCCTTCTTTTATTCCAATCCAGCCACTTCCTCAACCCATCCTGCCACAGTTTATCTGTGCTCCGACTCCCTCTGTGCCAGTGTACCCTGTTGTGGCTGGGCCATCAGCACCTAAAAGCCAGACACCACATGTACCCTACACCACACAGCAGTACAGGAAGAGGAAGGGGGAAAAAAGGAGCAGGCTGGACTACACACACGGAAATATGTAAAAAAAAAAAAAAAACAAAAAAAAAACCCAGAGACATTAGTTAAAAGTGCCAAAAAGAAAGAAAGTCATCCTGCCATAAACAGTATTTTGGGAACTGGTACTGTGAAGAGACTGCAAACCAGTCTTTTGAAGACTGGAGAGCTGAAATGGCTGCACGTGGGGCTATGGTAAAAAAAAAAACAACCTTAAATGTAAATGGCTTCATTTTTTCCATTTTTGATGTTTGTGTGATTACTGTTTGTTTTTTCTGTCTTTTAAATAAACAAGTGTGAGTTTTTGTATTTTCTTTTTTTTAAATTAAACCAACCAAAATTTGTCCTGTTGGTCTCAAATGGTAAAGGTTCTGGTGAACACAGTAAGTTCATATCCTGACGGGCAGAAAAAAGGTTTGTCTTTTAATTTTAATCAAGAAAACTACAGATTGCAGCTCAGAAATCCTCCAAAGGTTTCATCTCTCTCTCTGTGATTTCATTTGCAGATGTAGGAGGACATGGAAACAAAATGAAGGGCCTGTGTACACTGTTGTGATTTTGAGTTAGAATTAATTGAATTATGGTAGATTGTATTATATTTTGGTTCAGTGAAGGTGAGTAGATAGATCTGAAAAGGTGAAAATTAAAACCCCTGGAATGAGGATGTTTTCATTGCCATAGAAGATTTTCAAAGTAATTAGAGTCAGAGGTTCAGGAAACTGGCATCTTTATTTCATTGGCATGTAAATAGACATGAAGTGTAGACTTATATTAAACCTCATTTAATCGTGTTTTTATGCGTTTACTTTTGCTTGAAATTTATTTTTTTTAAAAGCCTACATCGTTCACGGAGCATTGGTAATTAAGGTGTCAAAAATGCTCCGAACGAGACTCGAACCCGCAGCCTCGCACAGGATGAAAAAAATCTTCGTAGCGTCAACCAATCACGAAGCCTCCTGTTACCAAGATTCTAAGTATTAGTACAGACGGCAAATCACAACGCGTCCTGCTACCAAGTTTTGCGTGAGCTACATCGTGGTTGCCTAATCACAAAGGGCCCGCCTCCAGCAACAATGGACGAATCACAGTGGCGGAGCGTCGGCCAGAGATTCAGGTAAACAGTTGTTTGTGTGTTCGCGCACGTGTCACGTGTGTGTAAGGTAGTGAAAGAGTCAAGGATGACAAGACATCTGGCTCATCATTTTAGATTTATCTCTGCAAATGTTGGCCCCAAATCATAGCCACAAAATGATCAGGGCGTGGCAAAACACCAACAGTTGCTTGGACATTTGGCACTTCATGAGGACAGCAGTGGGCTGCGCCACCGACTCTCATCCACTTTATGCCGGCTTCATGAACAAACGGAGCCACAAGCTCTAAAGGAAGCCAAGCGAGCTGAACTGGAGGCCAAGTTGGTGTACCCCACAGATCTGCTGCGAAACATCAGCAGAGCTGAGATGGCACGTCACTGCAAAAGGACAACAAGAAGCAGCTCAGAGATGGAGACCTTGATTTCGGAACTGATTGAGGCCTACAGCGGGCACAGAGGATGCAACTCATTGGGAGTTCCACTCATCAACTTGGAGAGAATGGCAGAGATATGGAAGGCTCAGAAGAAGCACCTCAGCTGTCTGCAGGACCCACCAGGAGTACTCCTGTACATGGAGACTGGCACCATAAAAGAAGGGGGGCACGTTCTGGAAACATATCGGCGTGCGAGAGGTTCCACTTCCCTCGAGTGCTTCCACCTGCACATGAACACGTTTATTCCTGGTAGGGGAAAAGCACTTTGTCCTCACACACTTATCCATGAGTTTCTCTTCATGTTCACAACCCATTTAAACATATTTATGAATATTTTTCAGGAACACTGGCAAGTGACATCTTTATTCAGGCGTATCTGTTGGATGGCCTGGCCAGGTGGAACGAAGACCGGAGCATGTCAGCAGGAAGATCAGAGCCTCACTCCTACAGCGGCCTCCTGAGGCATGCTGCAACCCAGCTGTCACAGGAAGTCCTCGGGAAGAGCTGTGTGAATTACACAGGGCCACAGGCGTACACAGGTGTGTTACCAGAGCTGATGCACCAGTCAGAGGAGACGGAGTTCAGCTTTGACCAAGCTCTGATTAGATTAATATTTCATGCTAGCTAATTAAAAGTCAACAATGTGATTTTGCTGAAATTGTGTCGTGACAGTGAGGTAAAGTTAAAACAAACGTTAATTCAGAGACAACCTGCAGCCACAAAAACGGTTACAACATGGACAAGGGAGTTGGAAGAGACTCTGCAGGGATGCTTTGAGTCAACGGGCTGGGATGTTCTTTGTGATTCCAATCAGGACAATATTGACAATCTGACAGGCTGTGTTACAGACTATATCAACTTCTGTGTTGACACGGTAGTCCACCATACTGTGCTTCCCCAACAATAAGCCCTGGGTTTCCAAAGACATAAAAGCAACCCTGAACAAGAAAAAAAGAGCTTTCAGAAATGGTGACAGAGATCAGCTGAAACTGGTGCAGAGGGAGCTGAAAGCCAAGATTGCTGAGGGGAAAGAGTCCTACAGACAGAGGCTGGAAAACAAACTGCAGGAAAACAACACCAGGGAGGTGTGGAATGGAATGCGGGCTATCACTGGCCTGAGACAAAAGAGAGGTGTTGGGATGGAGGGGGATGTCGAAAGTGCTAACAACCTAAATCTACACTTCAATAGGTTCGACTGCCCTGCGTCTCCTGTCTCCACAGCCAGCTCTTCCCATCATCCCCTTCCATCCCCCCCATCTCCTGCCTCCTCTGACTGTCTCACCCTGTCCCTCTCAGCAGATGACATCAAAAAAGAATTGGGCAGACTCCACCCCGGCAAAGCTGCTGGTCCTGATGGTGTCAGGTGTTGTGCTTCCCAGCTGTCTGGAGTTTTACAACGGATCTTCAACATGGGCCTGGAGATGCAGAGAGTTCCATCACTCTGGAAGACATCCTGCCTGGTTCCTGTCCCTAAAAAGATCAACCCGTTGACCCCCAGTGACTACAGGCCAGTGGCTCTGACCTCACATGTCATGAAGACGCTGGAGAGACTCGTCCTAAAACATCTGCGGCTGCTGGTGGAGCCTTGGCAGGATCCCCTGCAGTTTGCTTATCAACCTCGTATCGGTGTGGAGGATGCCCTCATCTACCTGCTGGACCGGGCACATTCTCATCTGGACATTGCTGGGAGCACTGTGAGGGTCATGTTTTTCGACTTCTCTAGTGCCTTTAACACGATCAGACCATCACTGCTGGGGAACAAGCTCACGGAAATGCAGGTGGACACCCCACTTGTAGGTTGGATTACGGACTATTTAACAAGTAGACCACAGCATGTCCGACTGATGAGCTGCCGCTCAGATAACATCCTGAGCAGCACGGGGGCGCTGCAGGGGACAGTCCTATCACCAATGGCAGTTTTAAACGGGGGCCCACAGGGGCCTGGGCCCCTGTAGAACCGGCCCTGGCCCCTGTTATGGCCCCTGTGCTGAAGAGATCGGATTTTTTTTTTTTCGCGCGCTGCCTCGGAGACGGGAACTAATGCGCTGCAGCGTTTCACACGGAGCCTTTAGAGCGCAGCACACTCTGTGGACAGAACTGTTTACCCGGTGGATTTTTGAATAAAAGATTAAAAATAGTTTAAATGGGACCCGAAGAAGTTCTTGAGGACGCCAAACGGAAAAGACGCTAAGAGAAGAAGGTAAGCAATACAGTTTATTTTCCTGACATCAGTGTTTTGATCGTGGTCGCGCGTTTCTGTCGTTTACTTTTAAGTTCCTAACTGAGTCTATCCACAGTTAACACTGATTTGTTGTTCCTTTGTAACATTAACTGTAAAATAAAAATGAAGTTGCTGCATTTTAAGCCTTAGACACGTTGAGATTAGGTCACAGTATTCACTTATCTATGACTTTCTCGCAGCACTGACTGGAAGCATCAGCGGGACGTTTTGTCCTTTTTTACCGCTGTTAATAAAGAACAGCGTAGACAGAGAGGATGAAAGTCACGAGGGAACTGAGAAGCAGGATGAAAGAGAGAAGGAGGAGTTGGTTGGAGAGGAACCAGAGAGGTCAGGCTGTCCACCCTGAGAGTGAGGAGGAGGAAGATGTAGGCTGTGAGGGAGAGAGTGAGGAGCAAAAAGAGGGACATCTTCTGTCATGTGCACCGTGTGCACTACCGTCAGGTGTGTGGGTGTTGAACAACCCCTCTGTGATTGCAGCTCATATTGTGTGTAAAATGCATTTGAGGCATGCTGACTCTGGACCAACATTTCTGTTGTTTATATTTAATAAATAGATAAAATAAGACTCTGAATTAACTAATTATGGCTTTTATCCTCATGCCAACATTTATTTTCTTTCAGATATCAGCAAGTGCAAGGATGACCCACCTACTCAGCATCATTTGAGGACATTTCCAGTGACATTAATAGGAGACAGAAGATGCAGCTTTCAGCCAAGCTGGTATGAAAGTCATCCTTGGGTTGAATATTCTGTTACTATGGACTCTACTTATTGTCATGCATGCAGACATTTTAGCCCACCAAGTAGCGCAGGAAGTGTGTTTGACTCACCATGTGGATTTAAGAACTGGAAAAAAGCAACTGAGAGGAGGGGGTTTTCAGTACATGCAAGTCTGAAAGGCATAAGGATTCAATGATAGCGTGGAGGGACTACCAGAGGGCTGTGAAAGCTAATACAACATTGGCTAATATACTCGACAAGGAACTCAGTAAAAAGGTTAAAGAAAATCGTGAGTATATCAAAACAATTGGTGAAGTGATTGTGTGTGTGTGTGTGTGTGTGTGTGTGTGTTGACTACAAAAAGCAAATTGTATTGTGCAGATATTTAATTTGTTTGAATGTTTATTTTTCATATGTACATTTCATATAATCTTCAAATAAAGTCACAAACTATAATAATCAACTAGAATTTTTTTTATAATTTATTTAAGTCTCGTGTTGTGGTGAAGCATTCAGAATTGTTATCTGAGTACCATAAAAACATGCCAGTTTTACTTTCACAAGTAAACCATTACTGCATTCACTGTAATAGTTTACTTGTTCATTGTCTTTAATTATGAATTTTTTTTCTTGCGCCCCCATGAAAAAATACTGGCCCCACTGTGGCCCCCCTGGAAAATTTGGTCTAGAACCGCCCCTGCCTATCACCCTTCCTCTTCACCCTTTACACATCTGACTTCAGGTACGAGTCTCAGTCTTGCCATCTGCAGAAATTCTCTGACTCTGCCATCGTGGGCTGTATCAGGGATGGTCAGGAGGTGGAGTACAGGAGTGTGGTGGACAGCTTTGTGGAGTGGTGTGAGCGAAACCACCTAGAACTTAACATCACAAAGCCTAAGGAACTGATTATGGACTTTAGGAAGCAGGCCCCACCTCCTACTCCTGTCACCATAAGAGGGGCTGACGTTGAGATCGTTGAGGACTACCAGTACCTGGGGGTTCACTTGGACTGTAAACTGGACTGGACTAAGAACACCAATGCTATCTTCATAAAAGGGCAGAGTCGGCTTTTTCTTCTGAGGCGGCTCAGGTCCTTCAATGTTGGGAGGAAAATGCTGACCATGTTCTACCACTCGGTGTTGGAGAGCGTTGTGTTCTTTGCAGCTGTGTGCTGGGGCAGTGGGGTGAAGGTAGCTGATGCCAACCGGCTGAACAAGCTGATTAGAAAGGCTGGGTCTGTCCTGGGTTAGACTTGAGACCCTGGAGGAGGTGTCTGAGAGGAGAATGCTAAAAAAGCTTCTCTCTATCATGGACAACCCCTCCCACCCCATGCACGCCCACATGATGGACCATCGAAGCACACGCAGCAAAAGACTCATTGCCCTGAAATGCAGAACTGACCGCCACAGGAAATCCTTCGTACCGGTGGCAGTAGGATTGTTTAACTCTTCCTCACCCTGTAGGTGATTCTCCTAATACCTTTACCCAGTTTACTCTGTTCTCTCCCAGACTGTGCAATATTACACAAGCGTTCTGATTGTAAATATGTTTTTATCTCCCATCATATCATATGCTGCTACAAACCCTTATTCTATTACACAATACTTTAATCACTTTTGTGAATCGCCTGCACCGACGGCTTAATTACTTCTTCACAAGGATGCAGTCATGTATTTAATTATTGAGATATGCGATTGTTTGTTTTGCACTATCCTACAGGGTACTAATGTTGATCATTTTTTACTGTAAATATTATATATCATTTGATTTTTGATTGCTTTCAGGGGAACTCATTGGGGTCGAGGATCTCTACGACCAAAAAGGAGATGTTCTTGAGGACCGCAGAGCGGCAACTGCAGCATTGGAGACAGAAGACGTAGCTGTGGCAGAAGATGAGGGCTTTGAAGAGTCTGAGGATTTTGTGGATCTCACAGTTCCCATCTTGGAAACCACGCTCCAGACTCCTCAACCTGCCTGTTCAGATGACGTCTCAACCCTTCCTAGAGATACCATCTGTGGAAGTTAAACATGCTCCTGTGGATGCACTGGAAGAAAGTGAGGGATGTTCATGCCCAAATATCACATAAATGGGAAAGTCAAGATGTTTTTTTATTGTGTAAAGTGACATAAGTGACTTTAAAACTGGGTTACTGATTACTCTTGTTCTATAAACCTGTGTGTGTGTGTGTGTGTGTGTGTGTGTGTGTGTGTGTGTGTGTGTGTGTGTGTGTGTGTGTGTGTGTGTGTGTGTGTGTGTGTGTGTGCTGCATCTCCATCAAGGCTGCCTGATTTCCACTCTGATGACACGACTCCAGGGATATCAAGGAGACGGGTAAGTTAGATATGATTTGGCTACTTTTGCCCATTTTTTTTCTTATAAATACGTGACAAACTTATCATTTAGGACTCCGTTGGCCCCGACAACACCGAAGGTTTCAGAGCTGTGCAGGATTCGGCTGAAGCACCCTTCAGTCTGAGAGAGCACAGCCTGGCTCTCACCCTCGAAGAGTCCGATAACATTGTTGTTCTTTGGAAGAGATTGTCAGAGCACGACAAGGAGCGCACCGTTTTTTCTCCACGCCACCAAACAACCTGAACAAAGGTCGTTTTAGAGCAACAAAAAAAATCGTTGCACCAGGCGTGGAGTCGACAAAACGGTATGTTGGTCACAGCCACTGATGCATATTCTTCTACAGATCTTGCCTGAGTCCATTTTTCTTGCCTTTGTCCTCCTAGGAGCTATTCTTGAGCACGCATTCCTGGACAGTGGCCAGATTGTTGAGGCCATTTTTGTCCAGCTCTGCATGGCTTACCCAAACCCAAAGAGAGTGGAAGGTGTGGCATTTTCAAGGTGGACCTTCATCATTCGTGCTTACAAGCACATTAGAGCGTGCATCCTGAACAACTTCACCATCATGGAGGAGACGACCATACAGTTGCCAGAAGTCAACAAAACAACCCTCACACAGTGGTGAGTTAAAACTGTCATGATGGATAATGGACTCAAACTAGCCGACCCAGAGACAAACAGAATAACTTAAAGAAGTTTTATTCACAAGCGAGATACACAAATAGTACTCCCCAGGAGGATCAGTGGGGTAATGATAATTCACTTGTAGCGCTCACTCCGCTGGAGGTACGGTCTGCTCAGGGGGGGGGGTGAGAGAGAAGGGTGAAGATTAGATGGATCCAAAAATTATGTGTAATCTTTAAAGGGGTCAAGGGATGGCTTACAGTGTCCTTGTGTAACCCGGCAGTGGTGGCAGGAATCACCATCGGATTGGAAGAGGGGTTTTCCAGCTGAGATGGGTAGGTAATGCAGTCTGCATCAGCGTTCCTCTGGAAGCATGAGTGAACAGAAAGTTAGTTGACTGCAGAGTACTTGAGAGTTTTCTGATTTTACAGTAATGACTAACCAACTGGCCTCTCAGATCAGTAGATGAGACTCAGCTACAGAGACTGGGACTGGTGCCAGGATTACGTCCCCGGCTCTCTAGGAGAGATGAGGAGGGGAGTAATAAAAGTGGTGTGTGGGTTAAATAATAATCTGAGTGATGCGTCACTTAAAACAAGAATCTTTATTACAAAATGGATATTTGCAAAGAACCTAAGACCAAATACTATACACACAAAACAAAAGGAGCTATGTTTAAAAGGGAAATAACGCAAAGCGCCACCCCAGAAGGGGGTGGGAAGAAAACCGAGAATAATAATATTTACACCAAAGGGGAGATCCTAAATTCAATGTCAAAATGGCGGTCTGAAGTCTACAAGCCAAATAGTCACAATTTTAAATCCAAAACCGAGAGCACTGAAGACAAACTATGACGAGTTTTACCGAACGAGTGAACGAGGAGAAGAGAATAGCCAAACTGTTCCCAGTCTGCACTGTCCTGGATCTTCTCACTGAATCAGGGCAAGAGGGCAGCTTTTAACAGCTGATACATGATTATGAATAATCATAAACACCTGTTCACCGGGAGACAGGCAAAGCAGAAGGCCGCTGACGCCATCCTGTGGCCAAAAGGGGGCGCTGCACGTAACAGTCAGGGACTCCTCTGCTGGAGAGAAAATGAAGAAGATGAGAATCAGTAGAGAGAGAAGCAAGCCAACAACTTCATGACTGCTGGGATATGACAAACTATCTGTTAACCTCAGTGATAAAATCTGAGTGACTTTAAAAACAGGACAGAATATTAGTTGGTTTGTATTTCACAAACATCACAGAATCTGTAATATCAATAAGAACATTATTCCTTGAAATTTAAATCAGCTATTCTATTTATTTCTTATGCAGGTATTGCAGAAGCACCCGGACACAGGAGAAAGACATTCTTGAACAGGGCATTCTGGCACCAAAGCCAGCCATTTCCGGTGATACCAGTCAGCACCACAGCACAAAGCCATTCAACCTGCTCCATCACACAAACCACACACCTTCGTCCTTCATCCCGACACGGCTGGAACAGCAAAACTGAAAGTGAAAAAGTCAGATAGAGCACAGTGCCCACCTCAGCCTCAGAACACAGGACAGTTGTCTGTGGAAAAATTTCCACCAGCAACCTCATCTGGTCCCACCTATTCTGTCCATTCTTTTATTCCAATCCAGCCACTTCCTCAACCCATCCTGCCACAGTTTATCTGTGCTCCGACTCCCTCTGTGCCAGTGTACCCTGTTGCGGCTGGGCCATCAGCACCTAAAAGCCAGACACCACATGTACCCTACACCACACAGCAGTACAGGAAGAGGAAGGGGGAAAAAGGAGCAGGCTGGACTACACACACGGAAATATGTAAAAAAAAAAATAAAAAAAAAAAAACCCAGATACATTAGTTAAAAGTGCCAAAAAGAAAGAAAGTCATCCTGCCATAAACAGTATTTTGGGAACTGGTACTGTGAAGAGACTGCAAACCAGTCTTTTGAAGACTGGAGAGCTGAAATGGCTGCACGTGGGGCTATGGTAAAAAAAAAAAAACAACCTTAAATGTAAATGGCTTCATTTTTTCCATTTTTGATGTTTGTGTGATTACTGTTTGTTTTTTCTGTCTTTTAAATAAACAAGTGTGAGTTTTTGTATTCTTTTTTTTAAATTAGACCAACCAAAATTTGTCCTGTTGGTGTCAAATGGTAAAGGTTCTGGTGAACACAGTAAGTTCATATCCTGACGGGCAGAAAAAAGGTTTGTCTTTTAATTTTAATCAAGAAAACTACAGATTGCAGCTCAGAAATCCTCCAAAGGTTTCATCTCTCTCTCTGTGATTTCATTTGCAGATGTAGGAGGACATGGAAACAAAATGAAGGGCCTGTGTACACTGTTGTGATTTTGAGTTAGAATTAATTGAATTATGGTAGATTGTATTTTATTTTGGTTCAGTCAAGGTGAGTAGATAGATCTGAAAAGGTGAAAATTAAAACCCCTGGAATGAGGATGTTTTCATTGCCATAGAAGATTTTCAAAGTAATTAGAGTCAGAGGTTCAGGAAACTGGCATCTTTATTTCATTGGCATGTAAATAGACATGAAGTGTAGACTTATTTTAAACCTCATTTAATCGTGTTTTTATGCGTTTACTTTTGCTTGAAATTTATTATTTTTAAAGCCTACATCGTTCACGGAGCATTGGTAATTAAGGTGTCAAAAATGCTCCGAACGAGACTCGAACCCGCAGCCTCGCACAGGATGAACAAAATCTTCGTAGCGTCAACCAATCACGAAGCCTCCTGTTACCAAGATTCTAAGTATTAGTACAGACGGCCAATCACAACGCGTCCTGCTACCAAGTTTTCCGTGAGCTACATCGTGGTTGCCTAATCACAAAGGGCCCGCCTCCAGCAACAATGGACGAATCACAGTGGCGGAGCGTCGGCCAGAGATTCAGGTAAACAGTTGTTTGTGTGTTCGCGCACGTGTCACGTGTGTGTAAGGTAGTGAAAGAGTCAAGGATGACAAGACATCTGGCTCATCATTTTAGATTTCTCTGCAAATGTTGGCCCCAAATCATAGCCACAAAATGATCAGGGCGTGGCAAAACACCAACAGTTGCTTGGACATTTGGCACTTCATGAGGACAGCAGTGGGCTGCGCCACCGACTCTCATCCACTTTATGCCGGCTTCATGAACAAACGGAGCCACAAGCTCTAAAGGAAGCCAAGCGAGCTGAACTGGAGGCCAAGTTGGTGCACCCCACAGATCTGCTGCGAAACATCAGCAGAGCTGAGATGGCACGTCACTGCAAAAGGACAACAAGAAGCAGCTCAGAGATGGAGACCTTGATTTCGGAACTGATTGAGGCCTACAGCGGGCACAGAGGATGCAACTCATTGGGAGTTCCACTCATCAACTTGGAGAGAATGGCAGAGATATGGAAGGCTCAGAAGAAGCACCTCAGCTGTCTGCAGGACCCACCAGGAGTACTCCTGTACATGGAGACTGGCACCATAAAGGAAGGGGGGCACGTTCTGGAAACATATCGGCGTGCGAGAGGCTCCACTTCCCTTGAGTGCTTCCACCTGCACATGAACAGGTTTATTCCTGGTAAGGGAAAAGCACTTTGTCCTCACACACTTATCCATGGGGTTTTCTTCATGTTCACAACCCATTTAAACATCTTAATGAATATTTTTCAGGAACACTGGCAAGTGACATCTTTCTTCAGGCGTATCTGTTGGATGGCCTGGCCAGGTGGAACGAAGACCGGAGCATGTCAGCAGAAGGGAGATCAGAGCCTCCAGTTCCTCAGGAACCTCCCTCGCGGCTAGCTAGTCCTTGAGCACGCTGGAGAGCCCCTGAAGGAAGACAACAACCAGTGCGTCATCAGGCCAGCTGGAGCTTGCCGCCAGCGTCCGGAACCTCACTGCATAGGACGGCACGCTGTCATCTCTTTGTTTGAGCCGGAGCAGCCCAGAAGCAGACGCGCGGTGCGGCGTGGAGGGGTCAAACGGTCAAACACCACGAGGAGTTGAGTGGAGAAGGCCCTGAAGGAACGAACCACCTCCGCTCCTCGATCCCACTCAGCCAGCCCCCACCTCTTGGAAACTCAAAGCAAAAGCCACCTTGCTCTGCTGCTCTGAGGGGAATTCGCTTGGGTTAAAGTCAAAATGGAGCCGACAGGAGGTGAGGAATGGTCGACAATCCTCTGCGGTACCAGCAAAAGGTTCAGGATAACCCAAACGGACCTGTCGAGGCGGAGTAAGCGCTTGCTCCAGTCTGGCTAAACGTCCATGTAATTGCTGCAATCCAGACATGCAGTTGCGGAGCTCCTGGGTCAAAACAGGAAGGCTGGCTTCTCCTGTTGCACCTTCACCAGAGGCAGGTTAAGGAAGGAAGCGTCTTGTTTCCGGGTTCTTCCTGCTGGGTCTGACACTTGGGTGGAACCGCAGAAATAACGGTCATTAATCTGAGTTCAAAAAGTGTTTTAATAACAAAACTTCCTGCACTGACTGTGGGAACCAAAAACATAAACCAAAATCGATCCACAAACAACTAGGTGAGACAACTCCACGCTGAGGACTGGCAGCAGTGGCCTGAAATAGTGTGAGGGCAATCATGGTGATGTGGTTCAGCTGCAGCACTCCAGGAGGTTCACAGGGAAGGGGAGGGCTCCTGAGAGGAGCTGCAGCTGACCTGAACAAAATAACAGAACAGGGTTAAACAAACACAAAAATGGGCGAATCATAACAGATGGATCCAAAAATTATTTGTAATCTTTAAAGGGGTCAAAGGATGGCTTACAGTGTCCTTGTGTGACCCGGCAGTGGTGGCAGGAATCACCATCGGATTGGAAGAGGAGGTTTCCAGCTGAGATGGGTAGGTAATGCAGTCTGCATCAGCATTCCTCTGGAAGCATGAGTGAACAGAAAGTTAGTTGACTGCAGAGTACTTGAGAGTTTTCTGATTTTACTGTAATGACTAACCAACTGGCCTCTCAGATCAGTAGATGAGACTCAGCTACAGAGACTGGGACTGGTGCCAGGGACCCCTCTGCTGGAGAGAAAATGAAGAAGATGAGAATCAGTAGAGAGAGAGGCAAGCCAACAACTACATGACTGCTGGGATATGACAAACTATTTGTTACTTCAGTGATAAAATCTGAGTGACTTTAAAAACAGGACAGAATATTAGTTGGTTTGTATTTCACAAACATCACAGAATCTGTAATATCAATAATCAATAAGAACATTATTACTTGAAATTTAAATCAGCTATTCTATTTATTTCTTATGCAGGTATTGCAGACGCACCCAGACACAGGAGAAAGACATTCTTGAACAGGGCATTCTGGCACCAAAGCCAGCCATTTCCGGTGATACCAGTCAGCACCACAGCACAAAGCCATTCAACCTGCTCCATCACACAAACCACACACCTTCGTCCTTCATCCCGACACGGCTGGAACAGCAAAACTGAAAGTGAAAAAGTCAGAGCACAGTGCCCACCTCAGCCTCAGAACACAGGACAGTTGTCTGTGGAAATTTTTCCACCAGCAACCTCATCTGGTCCCACCTATTCTGTCCATTCTTTTATTCCAATCCAGCCACTTCCTTTGGAGAGGCTAGCCATTAGCGTGCCTAGGCTGGCCACTAGCTGACTAGTGACTCTCCGAGACATACTAATGGCTAGCCTCTCAGATGCTAATGCCAGCCTATCCATGCTAATGGTCCGTCAAGGAGGTAGGAAATCCAGCTAGTGGCAAGCCTAAGCACGCTAATGCTAATGCTAACACCAGCCTGTCCAGGCTAACGCTAGCCTATCCATGCTAATAGACAGCAGAGGGAGTGTGAGATCCAGTCAATGACCAGCCGAGGACTGCTAGTCCCTAGCATATCTAGTAGTGACGCCGGTAAAGGTGCTACTTCTCAGTAAGCAGCGCCAGCCTCTCAGTTACCGGCACCAGCTTATCATTAATCAGATCGGTAGTTTGCTTAGGAACTTATATAGCCTCCTGCTGCTGGGCAGTAATTTTGGCCCCCATACCGCGCCATAGAACTAGGGGGCCTCCCAACATAAGGGGGCCCCAGGCGGCTGCCGACCTATGCCTAATGGTAAACCTGCCACTGGTGATTGGCTCTGGAAACAGGAAGTATGAAGGCAGGATATAAACTGTGAACACGTCACTCTTTGTTTTGTTTTTTAATGGAGAGAAACTGACAACCCTTCAGCCAGCTGAGAAGTAAATATGTTTAATAAAAGGTTTTGATATTTATATTTAGCTGCAACTCCATCAAGACTGCCTGATTTCCACTCTGACGACACTACTCCAGGGACATCAAGGACACAAGTAAGTTAGATATGATTTCTAAGCTTCGGGGGAAACGACTCGAAACTTTATGGACTGTAAGCATGGCAGACGCAATGTGCCCAGTAGGGGGCAGCATCGTTCTACCTTCTAGTTCACATTTAATCAGTTTCAAACCAAACTTTGGAGAAAAAAAATAAAATTACGTTGTGGAGGATTTAACTTCAAAGTTTATAGTCTTTAATTTAAACAAACTAAGGCTTCACCTCTCGGTGCACATTTTAATTAGGTAATTAAAGGATGAAGGGGGAGGGTGCAGAGAGTCACCTCACTGGGAGCTCCAGACTAAACTAGCTGCAGATGAAGTTTTCAGCCGCGCAGCTCGGTGGGACTTTTTGGGAATTCCTACTAACTTCCAAACTCTGTCCGACTGAGATGTTGCGATGCTCCGCGCAGCCTTACGAAACGCGCACTTGTTCTGGGTAACTTGTTTCGTTTTCGTTCCGGAGGCTGGTCGTGGGTCAGCCGACTCAGGCAGCTGTCATGAGGTGAAGACAGCGTACATGATGCGCCAAATAGGCCCCGTGGAGCTGGTGCCAGAAAGACCGGGAGCAGGTCAGTCAGTCCCGTGGGAAAGCCACTCCATTCAGCACATAACCCAATATTCCTTGAGTGCTTTAAATTGTAGGATAAAAAACCAGCAGACAAGAGTGATGTGATTAAGGAAGCTACTCACTGAAGCGCAGAAATTTGTTGAAACTTCAAAGCAATAAGAAGAAAAGTTCAAAATGTTTTCATTATCTGTATGATTTTAATTGTTTTATAGTTAGAATTTAAGAACAAACATGATAATAAATGAGAACATTTATTTAATTGTGGTTAAATGTTTGTAAAACTTCTATAACTAATATTTAACATTTAAATTAAAATAGTTTTAATTTAATGATTTCGCTTTTTATTTAAAAAACATATAATAATGAACGAATATAGTTTCAATTCTGTTTGTTGTACTGTGCAACATAATGCAATGTAATATGCAATGGAATATAATATAATATATATTAATATGATACAATGTAATATTACGTACATTATAAAAAATATAATATAATAAAATGTAAGATAATGAGCTTTTATGACACATTATGTCTTATTTCACCTTTAAAGACATTTAAACATTTACTTCTGTTTCTTTAAGGCATCAAAATCAACTTCTAAACAGATTTTAAAGCAATTTTGAAGTTCACACTACTTCCCTGAGCTGCATTCTTAAAACAATGTTGAGAATTACCTTAGAAAAAAAATCCTGTAAAAGCAGGTGTATGCGATCAATATTTCTGCAGAATATAATCAGTATTTTATTTTACAATCTGCTGTTTCAGAAAAGCAAAATAACCAAACTCCATGGAAACTAAAGACGATGCATTTTGTTGCAGAACATAAACCAGTTTAAGCTAAACGTGCAGGTCGTCAGTGTGTCTGTTCACAACACATCTGATGCCAGCATGCATCCGTGGCGTTGAGTGGAGACATTTTTTAAAGGAGAAATGTGATCCTTGAGGCAGTGGAGCTGGTGACAGAGAGATCTGGGCTTTTCTCTCAACACTAACTTAACTCCAAAGCTCTCTTTATGTTTATTTTTATACATGAAACTCCACAAGACTCCTAAAGGTTAGTTATGTTTCACCCTCATTAAACGGCAGTCTTCGTGACACATCAGCAACAGTAACTGAGTGTGTAGCGGTAACTAGCTCTGGGATACTTTTATTGTCATTACAGCTCCGTGTGTCATGTGTGTTGCTGCCTACAGCTAAATAAAAATATTGGCTGCTGCAGAAATCTCGCCAGAATCATTAGAATCCGATCCCACACAACGGCAGCTCTTGTTCTGGTCTTCAGCAAAAAGTTACCACGAAGAAAAGATCCCCTAACAGTTCTGTGATCGAACATCTCATAATATGTTCAATAAACTTTAAATGATATTTTAAAATATCTTTAAAAATGTTGGTGTGGCAGCATTTGTGAAGATTTGAAACTCGTATTTAAAGTTTCTTTATTGGAATTAACAAATGATTTTTCTCTTTAAAAGTCATACTATACGTGTTGAGAAGGATTTAATAGGCTTATAGTCAGAGGATGAAATTGGCTTTGAAGTCCTCATCAGGTGGAGCGCTAGAAGGATAGCTGGATAGCCAGAAAATAGACGTCATGTAGAGGGTGAGGCTATATCAGCTGATTTAGCTTCTCACTAATATTCACATTTTATTTTCTAGTGCATTTTCTGATTCTCACCAAACTGGTTTGTGTTAAAGTCGTCCTTTTTGAGACCTAGTCCAAGTCCCGACTCGGGCACGCATTCTTCGAAAGCTGCGTTTGTAGGTCTAATGTGCCACTGCATCAAAAGGGAGGCCGTCCCATTTCGACTACCCCTCCAAATTCAGTCTAATGCTCCTTTCTTTTCCTGGGCTGAAAAGCCTTTAAGTATATCCTTTGCTGCCTCTCATTTCCACAGATCAGTTGTGCTGCAGCGACAGCTGGAATTATTCAGACTTAAACAGGAAACTGACACCTTAAACAGGTTCGAGAACAATTGGAAACCATTCTTTGGGCCTCTATAAATCATATGAAGCATTGCTGGGACTCAGGAACTCTGATAAATGGTCAAATACAACCCCACAATAAAGCCCTACAATGGTTTACCCTGCCTAGTTGGACAAGACGTGAATATTAAATGAGCTACTTGTTGATTTGCCGGTTTACCTTGATGGTGCTATGATGCTGCTTGAAGCTAGTAACAGTGTACAGCCATGTTTAGTAACCAGATAACTCAATAGAGCTTCGGGAGTTGACGTCTTTTCTCCCGGCATGCAACAGTTCAAATCGAATGGCGCCATCTTGGCAGGCAGTTGCCCGCAGTTGGGCTATTGTTATTTGCAGAAAACCCAAACTAGAAACGGGAAATATGGTAGATACCTGCTGTGGCCCAGGATGCCATAACAGACGCAGACCAGATGAGGGAAGAGCCGAATTCCCCAGGATCCGGAACACAGCAAACATTGGATCATTGCAATAAAACGCGCTAGTGACCGGGCTAAAATGAAACTGTGGGATCCCGGGAGCAAAGAATTTTGCTTACGCAGCGACCACTTCATATCAGGTAGTTAAACCAACATTTCCTCGACTGTATATGGTATTTATTTTGAATGCTCTTATTACTATTCTTAGTGGGCTTTCAAAACTTATTTTGGCGTGGCATTTTCTGTCTTGTTGCTCATAGTAATAAGTAAATATCACGTAAAACTTTGCCTAATCATTCATGATTTCTGCATGCTGCTGTGTACATAACCCTGCTTGATTCAGTTTGTATCCCTCCTGGCTTTTGTATGTTCTTAGCGATTCTCCAGAGTAGGACGAGGGAAAACAATGAGGAAATTTTAAATGTCAGGGTATCTCCAATCCGGTAAAAGGTCCGCTCCGACAGCATCTGGAGTTTTAAAAATTATCCCAGGGGCACGGTAAGAGTTGGAGATGTTTAGTCTCTTTAATGTCTGAGTGCATAAAACGATCTCTTCGGTTTTAAAATGTGAAGTAAACTCTGAGTAAAATCCATGCCGGTCCCATTCATTTTGTTTACCTTTGTTGCCTGCCAACATGGCGTCTACTCTCTGAGAACCACGTGACGTCCGGAACTCTATAGGCAAGCAGGGAATCATTAAAAGTATGAATATTCCCAGAACATCCTGAAATGTTACGTGTGTGGTTCAACATTCTTCTTTGTTGTTTTCCTTTCGTCCAACAAGGACGTTATCAGTAGCTTGGGTTAGCATTCCCGGCACCAAAATGCATAGTAGACTTTGAAGTTGGTTTGAACATGCAATTTTAAAGGTGTGTGTCTATCCCTACAAAGCCTGGTTCACTCGGCATATGCTACACACTACACACAAACGGTTTAACTCTCTAACATTACCCGAGGGAAATATAAGACTTTCCAAATGAACAAAAATGGTGCCTGTGATTCTTTTATGTTGCTAGCTATTTTCACTTGCAGTCAGTCTGATTATTTAGGCCACCGAGCAGAATAGGGATCACTACTGAGTGATTTTAAGGACTTTCTTTACTCACAATGCTAGTTGTATCCATTCACTTACTGTGTTTTATGCTAAGCTAAAGGAGGATAGCCAAGTCAGGAGAATGACTGGGCTGGTTACAAATAGTTTTTTTTTCACACTTATCTAACTTTAAAAAAAGTCAATAGACAAAATTTTAATTTTGGGTGGAATATCACTTTAAGATTGTGGGAAAAGTTGGCATAAATATCCTGTGTGAACCGGGCTGTTGTTGATTTAGCATCTAGGAAAGAGCAGAGCAGCTAGTAGAAGCTAACTGTTAGCATTAGCAACTACACAACATGGCAGAACTCCTTCATGCCTATGTTTTTTGGAGAGATAAAACATCAGTGTTGCAGAGATAACAGAGTCAGTGGTAGAGTTGCTTTGCTGTTAGCCAATCAGAGACGAGATGTCCAAAAATAATGACATTTTCTCATCTGGCTTGGTCTGGTCCGTTCTTGGTAGCATCAGTTTGTACCTGGTGTTGTTCACACCAAGATGTCTGTGGTTCACACAGCCTTCTCAGGTATGTGGATGTCTTCAAGAATGTGGGCGGGGCAAAAGATGTGCAGAGAAGTCCGTGTTCAGACTGATAATGCATCGCACATGCTGATTCATTCGCCAAAGTCTTTCTCTATAGGCGTGAGCTTCAGCCGGCCAGGCAATCCATAGTGAGTGTGTTGGGTCGGCTTTGCGCGGAAAAAAAAAAATACGGTCAGCTGCATGGAAAACGTACTAATTACCCAGATACCGGTGCTGGGCTGGGCCGGGCCAGACGTGAAAGCCCTGTTATACTACAGATCCTGCCATTTTCAGCTCAACTCTGCTGTAGCTCACTTCTAGTTCCTGAAGTGGGAGCGCCAGAGCTTCTCTCGCCACAGAGGTCGACTCACATGGCACTGATTTAGACTAGAGACCACTGCTAATCTGTTGAACAAACAAGTCAACTTGCTCTTCAAATCGTAGGACCACAGTAAAGAGTTCAAGGGAGCTCGTTTCAAAACAAACTCTTGCATTTTATTCCTGCAGGAACTTTTTTTAACGGTTTATAGTTTTAAGGCGAACGCTCACCAGTCTGATCTGTGAAAATGTGATCAGGTTTTCAAAATCCCAATACCAAGAGCTTGTGACATCTGTGTGCTTAGTTTATTGTTCCCTAACATGTTGTCTAAATTACGGTTTCAAAATGCAACATTCCATTACTGGTAAACAGTAACATCTCCATTATGCACTCTATTGTGAGCAGGTGATAATCGGATTAGCCCAAAGTTTGACAGCTCTGCTGTCCGTGTGCCAAATAACTCAACTGTCCAATTTCTGCCATCCCTGACTTCTCTTGGATCTCAGTCAGCTGTTTGACAGCTTGGCTTACAGTAGTCTAGTGAAGGCAGAATACTCCACGTGCACACACACTTATGTACTTTGTGCACACTGGTGTGAGTGTGAAGAGTTTCCCATTACTTATCCTGTCAGCTCCCTAAAGGATCACTTCACACGTAGTCCACAAAGACTCACAAACCTCAGAATTTGATTCATCTGTTCATTTTAACACTAAAAAGAATGTTGGGAGTTCAAGCCTTTTGCATAAATGCTTGCTTTACGTTAATCTGCATTTATAGACGAGCCTTTAATTATTTCTGTGTTTTGTTTTAGGCGAACCTCTTCGAGTGTGCGTTCACCCCGGACCCAGCTGCTGTACGAGTAAGATGGAGGACAGCTACATGTCAGCTGTTCGCAGTGAGACGCAGCAGAAGATTAGATCTTATAGTTTTGAGCTCAAGTACCTGATCGCTGGACACACCAAGGCCTACCAAGGTAGGAGAGAGAAGCTGTTACACTAGAGAAAAGAGGAGTGGGGAATTCATTAGGTTCACATTTTAGTTGTTGTGTGTTAGGAATTAGGAAAACCTGCGATGCGCGATAACAGTGATTAATATCACCATGATGATACGACTTGCAATAAATAAATACTTCACTCAAAAACAAAATAATCAAAAACAAAGAAAAAAATTTTTTATGACTAAAAAACATAAAAATGGGAAAGGTAAAATTGTGATCAAAAGATGTGAGGAAAGGGAAAAAGAAAATGATCAGTGGATCATGGGAAGAGCAGAAAGAGCAGAACGAAGCTAACTCAGGTGTTTGCTAGCCACTCGCATAGAGGGCGGGTATATAACCAATAAGAACTCATCTGATTGGCCAAGAAGAGTGAAGAGCTCTATTTGATTTGTCAAAAACTTCATGCTTCCATCTGATTGACAAAATGCATTATGTGTAGCAAACATCTGAGCTGACCATTCATTGTGGTTTATGCGATTCTTACTGCACACGCTAATACAGCAACGATGAGACTTTTGCGATGCGCGGCAGCCCTATTAGCAATTTTTTGTTAGACCTCAGATGCAATCCTACAGTTCTGAAAATACAACGGAGGGTTGAATGAAGTCACATTAAAGTCGCTATACAGCCAACAGGCCTTACTTTAGACACGGCTGACATAAATAATGAATTCAAGGGCTAAAATATACTTAAAATAATAATATTTTTTAATTTGAAGAAGGGAAAAATTCTTGGTAAAAGTTTTGCATTTTTTTGCGAGTTTCTCGATGTCGATTTGATCAATAATTTTCAAGTGGTGCTCGCTGCAGAACCACAAAGGCGGAGCTGCACCAGAAGGTGGGGCTGCACCGGAGTCAGCCCCGCCCATTCCATCAGAGTCAGTCCAATTCCTTCCAGTTGTCAGACTTGATAGCATTCTGGAACCAAAGAGGGTGTTAGAGCTAATATAATCTAAAATGCAAGATTGAGGACGGAGTTGAGAAGTTAATTGAACAGTTTTTGTAAAGGTTCCACCTAATAAAAAAACTAACTTTTGTAACTTTTTCCCATGTTGTATTGTCATTTCCTCATAAGAAACATGCCAAAGCCATTTTTGGTCTCATTCATGCATTTTCCTCCCATCTCAGCTTCAATTTGGTCTCCTCCCCCTGAAGCGGGTCTGGTCTTGGTTCTCAAATCTGGATATTCTGTGAATTTTCTGATAAAATTATTTCTGAAATGACTTCTACTGAGACACCGCCGTAAAAACCATACATCCCATCTACAGACACACTGAATGGCACAATTACATGTAACGCCACCTGTTTAAAATCAGATGTAGTGGTGAAGTGGTTATGGAGTCAGGTTGACATTCATTTTTGCGCAGGTTCACCTCCCAGTAGCGGCAGTATAAAGGTAGTTTATAATCATTTTTCTTCTTTTCTAGCTACACTTGCCAGTACTACGTTTACAACAATTTATTGGTATACCGTTAATAAATGACTAATGTGTTTTTTTTTATTCGTTTATTTAGCCAGTGTGAGTCCATTTGTGAGCAGAGTTTCAACTAAAGTGCTGTTTAGGAACGACCAAATTCAAAGAACTTTTAGAGACATTAACATTTTGCAGAAAGTAAACATTACAACTAAAATATTAACAAACTAAATGTTTCAGCTGGCTAAGTAGATTGCTGCCGACCCCACCGAGAGTCGAACCAGCATCAGCTGAGGGGAAAGCAAAACTTAAGACAGACAATCTTGCCACTGGACTACCAGAACCCATTTGATAATCTTAGATGCTGTTGTAGGCCACTTTTGTTGGAGCGGCTGTGGGCAGATGTTTGCTAAAAGAAACCTATTCATTTCGGGATATATTCACGCTTTGTCATGTAGCAAGTTATATTTATCTTGTTTAATTGGAGCATACAACATAGCATTAAAATAGTAAACTAGTAACAGCGTAATTCATGTGGGTCAGGTTAGTTTGCGATAAAGTTGAAAAACAAAAACAGAAGAAGTCCGTGAGCTAGGCTGAGTTTCCGTGAATGGGCGGGGCTGACTCTGGTGCAGCTCCGCCTTAGTAGTTCTGCAGCGAGCACCCTCTCATAATTTTAGGCCTTTTGGGCTAGAATGTATCATAAATGTTTGCTACGTTGCATTAGATACTTGTAAGATGCAACTAAATTTTATAAATCAGCTCACTTCTAAGCCATATTTCTCCGGATTGAACGAGAGTTGTTGCTGTCAGACACTTTACGTGTCTGATTTGTGACCCTGAACCAACAGTCCCAATGGTTTAACAGTTCTGTCAAGAGCCCGTGGCCCCTCTGCCATTCTCACTTTGTGTGTTCATCATGGAATAGCTAGTTTGTGTCAGGCTGGTGGTGCGCAGCCAGTTTATTTTGTGAGGCGCCTCAGTGGCTAGCCAAACAAACAACTGATGTTCGATTGAGTCTTTGAGGGAGCGAACTCTCAGAGGGAGCAGTGGAAAACTTAGTTACAACACCCGGCTTCCTTTCTCTGTCTGTCTTTCTCTGTTGCTTCCATAATCAGGTTTTGTTCCTGTCCAATGAGATAGAGAGGGACGAAGAATGTTTACATTCAGTACGTATCCGCAGCAAAGTGTTGTTGCCGTGGGCAACAGCCAGTCTCTAACGGGCTGCTCTGAATAGAAGGAAGAATACTCTGCTTGTCCACTTGTCTCTCAACACTATTCACCAGCATTTGTGTGTGTGTGAGAGAGACCTCTACGTTTCAGTGCGTAGATGTGTGCATGCTCATGCTGTGTGGAGATTATGAGACAGGCTGAATTGATGAAACCTTGCAGACAGACACTGCAAACATTCACCTCTCTGTTTTCACTCTTTATCTGTCTCTCTGCCACCCAGCATCCTAACCCTCCCCACGAACATGATGTGGACACACACAGGCGTAGCCATCCATGGGTATGATTAATGCCGACACACAAAGTGAGGCAGAGGGTGGCCAAGATCACAACAAAAATGTGGAGAAAGGGTCAAACGTTTGAGCATATAAGGAGCCTATAACCTTCACAGGTCTGATCAGTGTTTTATCAAAGTGGAATTACCCAAATTGTTATTATTTTAGCCAAAAAGTGTATGCAAATAAGTCATTGCTTGGAAGCCATTGAAGCCATTAAGTGTAGGAAAGATACATGTCTTTCCTCTTTTCAAAATAAAAGAAGTCTGATATTATTGGCCTAATTGTTATTTGCTGATTTTGGCATTAAAATGTAATATCAGAAATTATTGTTTATGTTTATGTTTATGTATTTAGCAGACACTTTTGTCCAAAGTGACTTACAAGTGATAATCGGCATGTTGCCCTTGAGGCTAACAACAACAATAACAACTACATCGTAGGTGGCAGTGAGGCAGCATGATAAATCATGGAAAGGAGGGAACAAGGAGTGAACAGTTGAGAGGGGAACGGGTGCAGGGAGGGTGCTAGTTAAGAAAATACTGTCTGTTTAGAAGATGCTCTCTGAAGAGCAGGGTCTTCAGGAGTTTCTTGAAAGTTGAAAAGGAAGCCCCTGTTCTTGTAGTGCTTGGAAGGTCATTCCACATTTGTAGAACGATGCATAAGAAGAGTCTGGATTGTCCTCAGCGTGGTGTAGGCACTGGTAGCCGACGATCTTGTGATGACCGGAGCGGCCGGACCGAGACATAAGCCTTTGCAAGAGGATTCAGGTAGATGGGAGCCATACCATCTCGGGCTTTGTATGCTAGTGTTAGCAATTTGAATTTGATGCATGCAGCTAGCGGTAGCCAGTGGAGCTCAATGAACAGAGGGGTGACGTGTGCTGTTTTTGGCTGATTGAAGACCAGACGCGCTGCTGCGTTCTGAACCAATTGAAGAGGTCTCACAGTACAGGCTGGAAGACCAGTTAGAAGGGCATTGCAGTGATCGAGGCGGGAGATGAGAGTAGATTGCACCAGGAGCTGGGTGGCATGTTGTGTTAGGTATGGTCTAGGGGTTGTACGAACTAGTCGACTAGTCGACTTCACGGCTCTGTAGTGACTTTTTATGCCTGTCATCAACTAGTCGCTGTCACGTGATAATGACTGACAAGATGCAGTCCTCGGAAAAGACAGCAGGTGATGAGCCCCTGCGCGTCTGGATCGAGGCGGAGGCGACGCGCTGTGCGGTACTGTCACCGGCGGTAAAACGGACATTTAACCAAACTGTGACCTTTTCCCTCTTGCAATTTAACCTTCCCCTCACCCCCATCCTAATCTTAACCAGTTTCCGCATGCAAAACTCTGATCGTTGACGTGCGCTCCAGACATTGCGTCCTGAGCACCGCCAAATCAGGTGTCACCACCTCAAAAACAAATTAAACATGCGATCGTTCATGTCGGCTCATTTCCTTTCATGTTTTCTGTCTGTTATTTGTGCCTGATGCGTTTCGCTGCTGCGGAGCGAGGCGCATCACCTGTTGTCCTCCGGTGACACACCCCCAAGATTCCACTATCTCCACCCCGCTCCGCTCCGGCATGAACTCCGCTGCAAAAACGGTCCCGTTGTAGTCGGCCGGCGAGCAGCGGCACCCCGCTGTTTTAGCGGTCGGTAGATCTTTTAGAACTGCAGTTCAAAGGTAACTCATAAGGTGAATATATATGAACCCAGGTAGCAGTTTTTCTTTAGGATTGAGAGGAGATAATAAACAGGCAGGACAGAAAAATAGTCAAATAAAACAAGTTAGTTTTTTTACCTGGTGGTTGCAACAAACAGACACCATTGAAGGTAATCAGAAGTGAGGAACAGAAAATGAAATAATTATTTTAATGTTTAGAGCAGCAGGAAAGGCTGCAGGTGCATCAGTGAGTTTGCGGCTGCTGCGCAGGGGGAGGGGGGAGAGGACTGAAGTAGGATGCAGAAACTACCGTTGTTAAAAGACATGTGTTAACTTAGAAAATGTGGGCGCAATTTAAATTGTCAAAAACTCCAGCGAACCTAACAACCCCCCCCCCCCCC